TATAAAGTTATAAAAAAGTCCATTGGCTGTGGTTTATCGAATTTCTAAAATGATTTTTTAAAAATAAAAAAATACATTTAAATATTTAGTTGAATTGCGTACAATGCTAAAATTAAACCGCAAAACTGGATGTTACGCATTATTAAAATAGTGATACCTTTCCCGTCCATATAGGCCTAACCTTAAACGACACCGCAGTATAAATATCTTTTCATTTCAAAGTTCCTGCACCACAAGAGGGCGCCACCCGCTCCCGGGAATTAAGAAAGCTGTAACTTCATTGTTTATATTCCCCGAGTTACTGGCACGTATATATAAACATATTTAGTGCATGCAGGGGCACCGCTAAAGATTTCGGGCCCCATGAAAACATGTCATATTATGCTTCCAACCCAAACCAATCAAATGATATTCCATTTTTTAAGGCCCCTGTCATTCAGGGACCTTCGGAATCGTCTTAAACTCCCCCCCCCCCCCTTATTGGCGCCCCTGAGTGCACAAGTGGCATTTCAACCCGGTAACTTGTTCATTTTCATATACAGTTTTCACACGTTTCGTGCGAATCCACAGCATGCAATTCGTACAGTATGTTGTCTGTATATTGTCTCAAAACGAATGAATAAATAAGGTGATAGAATAACATGATATAGAAATGACGAAAATTACAAAACAGCAGTATCGGGTAAGCACACCAGAATAAGTGAAATAATGGCAATGTTTCAAATAAAAGTCATTTTCTTTACCTGACATATTCTATTGGTAAAATAATAATAAAACTCGAATACATTGTGGTAACATAGTAACCATCCTCATCAGTCCTATTTAACGCAGATGGGCTTCAGCTTAAGTAAAGCCTTAAGGAACAGGGATGGATCTAAATCCGTGTATCATTCGTTCATCCGTTTTTCAACATGAAACCAAAACAAAAAAAAACGGAAAACCACTCGTATTTTCAGTTTTTGTTTCCAAAACCAAAACGACAAAACGGATAATGGCTCGTTTTCCGATTTCCCATTTTGTGCTCAAATCAAAAATGGAACAAACGGATAACGAGCGCTCATGTCCGATTTTGTTTTTTTCATTTGAGACAAACGCCGTGACCCGGAAATGACTGTACTGAGCTGAAAACTGGCAAACTTGCAAAGAAGTTTTAATCAAAATGGAGAATTTTGTGTTGTTCCTGGGCAGCAAACGAGTCACTCTGAAGGAGGAGGATATGACCACAGAGAAGATCTCGGTTATATTTCAGGTATGTATTTTTTGTCAATCCACTCTAATTCAATGTTATATATATATATATATATATATATATATATATATATATATATATATATATATATATATATATATATATATATACGTATGGTACAGTCATATGTGAAACTTTTAAGCACACATCCATGCTAATGAAAACACACACACATGCACATGAAACGCTCGCGCACATACATTGAAATTAACGCATGCACATACATGTGTGAAAAGCTTCTGTATGAGCGCGAGCGAGTGTAAGTTAACTTCAACTGTGTAAGTGTGAGTTTTCAGTAGTATGGATGTGTGCTTAAATGTTTCTCATATGACTGCGTGTGTGTTTAATAATATACAGTATGTGTTTTGTTTGACCAAAGTTTTAAATATTTTCTAAACGGCGCCTCATATTTTTTAGTACCGCGATCAGGTAAAACATATTCAAGCTAGACCGAAATCTGTGGGTGCGTGTATACATATTGAACCTTCTGTACTCTCAAAATCTGTCACAGGTACAAAGGCAAAGTGTTTATTTGACCGACGATGCCAACGTAGCCATTTTCCCCCAACCTCACGGCAGCTTCAATTGCTTTGACCTCAACGACAGAGGCCATTACGAGGTTCACGGTGACAGTATTACTGTGGAAAGATCAGCAGGGGCACTGCCCTCGGACCATCCTGTCCGCTTCTCCTTCCACCGGACCCCTAGCACAGCCGCCAGCTCCTGGTCTCCAATTCCACGGGCTACCATGACCAAAGCTTTCCAGAGGTAATTTCTAAGGAAGTTGAAATTTTCTAAGGAATTTCCCCATTGTGGGATTAATAAAGTCAATGTAATCTAATCTGAGAAAAATTCTCCTTCTTGCTAAAATGTGTGTTTATGCTATTCTGTTGAGTTGCTTTTTAGTGAAATGCTCAGGCCTATATGTCTAGGGTCTATCTAGAACTGTACAGGAGCATAACGTTTTGACTTTATATAAAGAAAGTCTGTGTTCATGCAAATCTCAGGAATGTCTTCATTGCTGATGTACTGAATGGAAAGCTGGAGACCAGCAAGATGGTTACAGTCCGCCTCTCAGAGTTTGAGGCTTGTGTGCCATCAATCGTCAGTAAAGTGAAAGAGGCCCTTGGACAGGAGGAGTCCATCATTTTGACAGATAGCCAGGGAAATGAAATAATGGATTCTGAAGGAACTAGGGGTAATTGCTTGGCTGTCACAATAGTGTTACAACAGCTTATCTGCATACAGAGTTAAGCTCACTTACAACAGCTGCATGACATACACCTACTTAAGAGCATTTTATTCTCACACAGAAGTATGTTTTGTACTTATAACTGTCTTAGGTTCTTTAAATTACCTACTTAGTGCCTCAAGTACATTTTTTTAAAACTTGCTGATATGATGAAAATTGTCAACAATCCAACAACCGTTTGGTTAAATGATAAAACCACTTACTGTTATTCCAGGATTAACATACTGGAAGCAAAATTCCAGAAAAGTCTTTGCAGTACCAGAAGAACAGATAGGACTCCTACAAAGCAATAAAAGGCGGAGACTGAGGTAAATAGACTGCTGTTATATTATTTTTACTCATTTTTATTTTGCGGCACAGCATTAATATGGTAGGTTAGTAAGCTCAGTCAAGTAAGCGCATGAAAAGCTGACTATGGAACTACATTCTGGTGTGCGTTGTGCTATTAGTCTTTTGTTCAACAAAAATGGGAAGTTTTTTTTTTATTGCATGACGGGTGACATTTCGGACTATAGTTTGTTAAAGTACACATTGAATAACCTTTTTAAATAAATACTATTAGAGATACAGTATAATGCAAGCTTTCAATAAGAAAAGTTTTTTAGTTTTAGAAACTTCTTAATTTAAAACTGTTTCGCCATAATGCATCCTCTATTTTGGGTTGATCTGACATTATAATAAATGGAATCTCCAAATTAATATATTTTAATCACACTCCAGTAACAGATGAAACTGTAGATAACAGACAAACTTCTCGATTTTCATTCATTAAATTAGGGGACATTCAGAGTGCTGTAGTACTTATTCCTGTTTCAAAAAATTAAATTGGCTTTCCTTTTAGACTACATAACACCAGTAAGGCTGCACTGGTTTTTACTACTGTGTCTTAACTAATTGTTAAAATCACTTTTTATGTTTAATTATTAAATTACATTTTCCAGCCGAAGAGAAGATACTGGCCTTCAAGAGGTTGTAGGTGACATTCAAGAAGTCGTCGAGGCAGCCCAGGGACTTAAAGATGTGTCAAAGGCGATCAAGGAGTTGAGCGGATTTGCACATTCCAGACTGACAACAACACTGTCGCTTTCGGAGGCTGAAGTGACTTCTTTAAAAGCTGTCTTTGGCTGTCTTGTCTGCACAGGTTTGTAATGTTTTAAATGCTTCAATGTAAAGACATTATAAGGGATCACACCATGCACTACATTATTACACACTACTCTGTATGTTCATGTGTGTTCTGGTAGACCTCAGAAACTGGGTGGAATTTCTTTATTTGCTCATTAGTACAGGTTTTAGAGTTGGCATACTTCCAATTTACAGGTTAACAGAGGTCAACAGAGAAAACTGCATTATTGCAGACTTGTATCAATATTACAAGCATCAAATTTTTGCCACAGAACAATGTTTAGTACAAAGATTAAATCATTTTTTTCTCCAAGATTTTTCTTACAAGATGACTTGTAACTTTGGGACTTTTTGCCAGCATTGTGGTGCAGAGTGCAGGAGCAGTGGGCAGCACGCAGGGATGTGCCTGGGGGTTTTGGGGTTGGGTCCTTTCCTAATTGCACTTTCCAGGCCTGCTGTGTCTAGAATTTGAACTGGCAACCATTTGGTCACAAGCCCGCTTTCCTAACCATTAGACCATGACTGCCCCCAGTCCTCTAACCATCATTCACACAATCATTTTATATGTTTCTAACATTTAGATCATGTTGTGCTGATGTATATCCCATTTACCATCAGTAATTTTTTAAATTGTTCTATAAGTACGCTTAAATCTTTTAGCTTGGGTTCAATGTCAGATTATTCTACAAAAAAAGAACAATTATTTGCAACTAGATAGGCCATTAATGTTGCACAATTAAAATAACACCTATAAAGCACTGCTTAACTATGTTTTTACTTAACAGGTCCTATTGATAAACCAATTTTCTCAACCTGCTGCAGAAGCTTAATTGGATGTAAGGGATGTATTGAGGAGTGGAGCAGCACCCATTCTTACTGCCCAAAGTGTCGGGCTGAAGACTTGGAGAACAATAATCACGAAGTGGCTGGACTCTCTGAAGCATTGGCACCACTGGAGAAGATATTCATTTAGTATGTTGTATTCACTACAGCAGCCACAAATGTTTGTAAAATGTTTAATTACCGGTATGTGCACTTTTGAGGTATTATTTAAGCAACCCCCTTTTTCAAGGTTGCATAACATGGCACATTCAGTGGAGAGGCTGCCAGTACTCTTGTGATTAAAAATGTTGTAATATTTGTTGCGCTTCAAATATACTCTTACAGAATATGTTCTAGAACGTTTCAACTGTAACGTTTGTTTTTTCCAGTCTTACTCTGGCCATGTGCACAGACGTAAATGTAAAAAATGCACTTTTGCCATGTAGTACTGTGAACTTGTTACATGTTACAATGTTAAATTATTATATTTGTTAGAGTTATGTATTTTATACTTGTTACACTGACCTTTTGGACATTAAAAGACATATGAGGTCTCAAGAGAACTGGTATTTATTTCAACTAAAATTGAGGTTACAATACCTCAAAATATTGTAATTTTACAAAAATGTAAGTTCAGAATCCTTTGTTATATGTAATGATTAAAAAATTTCCTATGCAAAGGTAAGTACACACAAAAATAATCAAGTAGTTACCCAAAATTGCATGAAAAGCATCATTAACATACCTACATCAGATTAACATACATATACAAATATATACATATAACAAATGTGAATGATCACTCCCCTGTGTATATTTATCTTACATATACCTCTCTGTAATGTTGATGAGATAAAACAGTGCCTCCTGAAAAACTCTACGGTCATTGTTGACCACTGTGTCAAAGAGAAGAGATATGTCTGGAAAGCTCTCTCCAAACAGCTGTTCTGCACGGCATCTATCTTCCTCAGATGAAAATGGGTCAACTGCAAAGGCAGACACCCAAGTCAGGGAGGACCTCAACTCCTGCTCGTACATGTTTGCTGCCTCTGCAGCAGTGGGCAGCAGTTCCTGTGAGATTCTTGCTGGACAACCAGCAGAGGCAAGCTGGTTTGGTATCCCTCTGCCTAAAATGTTGTGTGGGTAAAAAGCTTTTTTAGTTTATGACACAACCTTACCAGTTGTTATACGGCTTTATACCTACAAATACTACCATACCTGGTATCCTATGACAATTCCAGGACTGCACAACTCTTGCAAGTCCAATTTGGCTTACTTGGCATGCCAGGTTGGAGACACAAAATTTGGTCACATTATCCTCCATATTGAGCAATTCTTGGTCCAGCAAGTGAACGAGGGCCTGTTTAATGGGATAGTTTACCCGATTATTAACTTCTGGCCAAATTCTTTCCACACGAAGATTCTGTTTGGAAAATAAAGATGCAAGACCAATAAAACACAAGTCTCCGGATACTATTTTTGGTAAATAACCACTGGAAATGCTTTAGCCAAACTTAAAAAAAAAAAAAAAAAAAATCTAGATATGTGCTCAGTAAGACAAAATTCACCCTTGAAGAAGCTGTCTGCACATAAGGCTGCCTGTCAATGTTGTGTCGGTGTTGAGCAAGCTTCTCTTGCATATACAGAGCCAGGTAAAACTCTCTGCCATGATCTACTCTGACTTGGTCCCACATGCCATTGTTGGCAACTGCTACTCTGTAATAAAACAAGAGTGCTAAGTTTAAATTCTTATACTTTATATGGACAGATATGCCACATTGAACTGCCCACAGTAATGACAAAGGAAATACAGACTTTTTTGACATTTACCATTGTGGCCAATACTAACATAATAAAATAATGTTTAATAATCCCAATATAATGCAAATTAATTTCAGTGTTTTAACCTTGAATGGACTTACCTGTAAATGTCCTCATAAATAACAAGGTTGTTCTTCACTGGCATTGTTGCTTCAGCAACAATTTTGCTGCTGAAGCCATCCACAGCCAGGACGTGTGTGACCCCGAACATTACCATCTTCTCATTCTGGTCCATGTGGAGTTTATGGCCCATATACTCCGCATTGTAAGGAACAGGGTTTAAGTTACGTGCTCCCTAAAACAAGTATAATTAAATCAATGTAAAGGCAGTACTCTAATTAAAAATGTTCACCGAATCTATAAAATCCATACACACATGGACTGCTAATAGTTGAACACAGATAGGCCTGGGATTTTAAGGATCATTGAAATGTTNTGGAAGACCCTTTGGCAGTAAATTAAATAAAATGTTTTTAGTATATAATGTAGTTTGCCGTAAAAAAACGGAAAACAAACTATGTAAGGCATCACAATCCGTGTATCATTCGTTCATCCGTTTTTCAACATGAAACCAAAACAAAAAAAAACGGAAAACCACTCGTATTTTCAGTTTTTGTTTCCAAAACCAAAACGACAAAACGGATAATGGCTCGTTTTCCGATTTCCCATTTTGTGCTCAAATCAAAAATGGAACAAACGGATAACGAGCGCTCATGTCCGATTTTGTTTTTTTCATTTGAGACAAACGCCGTGACCCGGAAATGACTGTACTGAGCTGAAAACTGGCAAACTTGCAAAGAAGTTTTAATCAAAATGGAGAATTTTGTGTTGTTCCTGGGCAGCAAACGAGTCACTCTGAAGGAGGAGGATATGACCACAGAGAAGATCTCGGTTATATTTCAGGTATGTATTTTTTGTCAATCCACTCTAATTCAATGTTATATATATATATATATATATATATATATATATATATATATATATATATATATATATATATATATATATATATACGTATGGTACAGTCATATGTGAAACTTTTAAGCACACATCCATGCTAATGAAAACACACACACATGCACATGAAACGCTCGCGCACATACATTGAAATTAACGCATGCACATACATGTGTGAAAAGCTTCTGTATGAGCGCGAGCGAGTGTAAGTTAACTTCAACTGTGTAAGTGTGAGTTTTCAGTAGTATGGATGTGTGCTTAAATGTTTCTCATATGACTGCGTGTGTGTTTAATAATATACAGTATGTGTTTTGTTTGACCAAAGTTTTAAATATTTTCTAAACGGCGCCTCATATTTTTTAGTACCGCGATCAGGTAAAACATATTCAAGCTAGACCGAAATCTGTGGGTGCGTGTATACATATTGAACCTTCTGTACTCTCAAAATCTGTCACAGGTACAAAGGCAAAGTGTTTATTTGACCGACGATGCCAACGTAGCCATTTTCCCCCAACCTCACGGCAGCTTCAATTGCTTTGACCTCAACGACAGAGGCCATTACGAGGTTCACGGTGACAGTATTACTGTGGAAAGATCAGCAGGGGCACTGCCCTCGGACCATCCTGTCCGCTTCTCCTTCCACCGGACCCCTAGCACAGCCGCCAGCTCCTGGTCTCCAATTCCACGGGCTACCATGACCAAAGCTTTCCAGAGGTAATTTCTAAGGAAGTTGAAATTTTCTAAGGAATTTCCCCATTGTGGGATTAATAAAGTCAATGTAATCTAATCTGAGAAAAATTCTCCTTCTTGCTAAAATGTGTGTTTATGCTATTCTGTTGAGTTGCTTTTTAGTGAAATGCTCAGGCCTATATGTCTAGGGTCTATCTAGAACTGTACAGGAGCATAACGTTTTGACTTTATATAAAGAAAGTCTGTGTTCATGCAAATCTCAGGAATGTCTTCATTGCTGATGTACTGAATGGAAAGCTGGAGACCAGCAAGATGGTTACAGTCCGCCTCTCAGAGTTTGAGGCTTGTGTGCCATCAATCGTCAGTAAAGTGAAAGAGGCCCTTGGACAGGAGGAGTCCATCATTTTGACAGATAGCCAGGGAAATGAAATAATGGATTCTGAAGGAACTAGGGGTAATTGCTTGGCTGTCACAATAGTGTTACAACAGCTTATCTGCATACAGAGTTAAGCTCACTTACAACAGCTGCATGACATACACCTACTTAAGAGCATTTTATTCTCACACAGAAGTATGTTTTGTACTTATAACTGTCTTAGGTTCTTTAAATTACCTACTTAGTGCCTCAAGTACATTTTTTTAAAACTTGCTGATATGATGAAAATTGTCAACAATCCAACAACCGTTTGGTTAAATGATAAAACCACTTACTGTTATTCCAGGATTAACATACTGGAAGCAAAATTCCAGAAAAGTCTTTGCAGTACCAGAAGAACAGATAGGACTCCTACAAAGCAATAAAAGGCGGAGACTGAGGTAAATAGACTGCTGTTATATTATTTTTACTCATTTTTATTTTGCGGCACAGCATTAATATGGTAGGTTAGTAAGCTCAGTCAAGTAAGCGCATGAAAAGCTGACTATGGAACTACATTCTGGTGTGCGTTGTGCTATTAGTCTTTTGTTCAACAAAAATGGGAAGTTTTTTTTTTATTGCATGACGGGTGACATTTCGGACTATAGTTTGTTAAAGTACACATTGAATAACCTTTTTAAATAAATACTATTAGAGATACAGTATAATGCAAGCTTTCAATAAGAAAAGTTTTTTAGTTTTAGAAACTTCTTAATTTAAAACTGTTTCGCCATAATGCATCCTCTATTTTGGGTTGATCTGACATTATAATAAATGGAATCTCCAAATTAATATATTTTAATCACACTCCAGTAACAGATGAAACTGTAGATAACAGACAAACTTCTCGATTTTCATTCATTAAATTAGGGGACATTCAGAGTGCTGTAGTACTTATTCCTGTTTCAAAAAATTAAATTGGCTTTCCTTTTAGACTACATAACACCAGTAAGGCTGCACTGGTTTTTACTACTGTGTCTTAACTAATTGTTAAAATCACTTTTTATGTTTAATTATTAAATTACATTTTCCAGCCGAAGAGAAGATACTGGCCTTCAAGAGGTTGTAGGTGACATTCAAGAAGTCGTCGAGGCAGCCCAGGGACTTAAAGATGTGTCAAAGGCGATCAAGGAGTTGAGCGGATTTGCACATTCCAGACTGACAACAACACTGTCGCTTTCGGAGGCTGAAGTCACTTCTTTAAAAGCTGTCTTTGGCTGTGTTGTCTGCACAGGTTTGTAATGTTTTAAATGCTTCAATGTAAAGACATTATAAGGGATCACACCATGCACTACATTATTACACACTACTCTGTATGTTCATGTGTGTTCTGGTAGACCTCAGAAACTGGGTGGAATTTCTTTATTTGCTCATTAGTACAGGTTTTAGAGTTGGCATACTTCCAATTTACAGGTTAACAGAGGTCAACAGAGAAAACTGCATTATTGCAGACTTGTATCAATATTACAAGCATCAAATTTTTGCCACAGAACAATGTTTAGTACAAAGATTAAATCATTTTTTTCTCCAAGATTTTTCTTACAAGATGACTTGTAACTTTGGGACTTTTTGCCAGCATTGTGGTGCAGAGTGCAGGAGCAGTGGGCAGCACGCAGGGATGTGCCTGGGGGTTTTGGGGTTGGGTCCTTTCCTAATTGCACTTTCCAGGCCTGCTGTGTCTAGAATTTGAACTGGCAACCATTTGGTCACAAGCCCGCTTTCCTAACCATTAGACCATGACTGCCCCCAGTCCTCTAACCATCATTCACACAATCATTTTATATGTTTCTAACATTTAGATCATGTTGTGCTGATGTATATCCCATTTACCATCAGTAATTTTTTAAATTGTTCTATAAGTACGCTTAAATCTTTTAGCTTGGGTTCAATGTCAGATTATTCTACAAAAAAAGAACAATTATTTGCAACTAGATAGGCCATTAATGTTGCACAATTAAAATAACACCTATAAAGCACTGCTTAACTATGTTTTTACTTAACAGGTCCTATTGATAAACCAATTTTCTCAACCTGCTGCAGAAGCTTAATTGGATGTAAGGGATGTATTGAGGAGTGGAGCAGCACCCATTCTTACTGCCCAAAGTGTCGGGCTGAAGACTTGGAGAACAATAATCACGAAGTGGCTGGACTCTCTGAAGCATTGGCACCACTGGAGAAGATATTCATTTAGTATGTTGTATTCACTACAGCAGCCACAAATGTTTGTAAAATGTTTAATTACCGGTATGTGCACTTTTGAGGTATTATTTAAGCAACCCCCTTTTTCAAGGTTGCATAACATGGCACATTCAGTGGAGAGGCTGCCAGTACTCTTGTGATTAAAAATGTTGTAATATTTGTTGCGCTTCAAATATACTCTTACAGAATATGTTCTAGAACGTTTCAACTGTAACGTTTGTTTTTTCCAGTCTTACTCTGGCCATGTGCACAGACGTAAATGTAAAAAATGCACTTTTGCCATGTAGTACTGTGAACTTGTTACATGTTACAATGTTAAATTATTATATTTGTTAGAGTTATGTATTTTATACTTGTTACACTGACCTTTTGGACATTAAAAGACATATGAGGTCTCAAGAGAACTGGTATTTATTTCAACTAAAATTGAGGTTACAATACCTCAAAATATTGTAATTTTACAAAAATGTAAGTTCAGAATCCTTTGTTATATGTAATGATTAAAAAATTTCCTATGCAAAGGTAAGTACACACAAAAATAATCAAGTAGTTACCCAAAATTGCATGAAAAGCATCATTAACATACCTACATCAGATTAACATACATATACAAATATATACATATAACAAATGTGAATGATCACTCCCCTGTGTATATTTATCTTACATATACCTCTCTGTAATGTTGATGAGATAAAACAGTGCCTCCTGAAAAACTCTACGGTCATTGTTGACCACTGTGTCAAAGAGAAGAGATATGTCTGGAAAGCTCTCTCCAAACAGCTGTTCTGCACGGCATCTATCTTCCTCAGATGAAAATGGGTCAACTGCAAAGGCAGACACCCAAGTCAGGGAGGACCTCAACTCCTGCTCGTACATGTTTGCTGCCTCTGCAGCAGTGGGCAGCAGTTCCTGTGAGATTCTTGCTGGACAACCAGCAGAGGCAAGCTGGTTTGGTATCCCTCTGCCTAAAATGTTGTGTGGGTAAAAAGCTTTTTTAGTTTATGACACAACCTTACCAGTTGTTATACGGCTTTATACCTACAAATACTACCATACCTGGTATCCTATGACAATTCCAGGACTGCACAACTCTTGCAAGTCCAATTTGGCTTACTTGGCATGCCAGGTTGGAGACACAAAATTTGGTCACATTATCCTCCATATTGAGCAACTCTTGGTCCAGCAAGTGAACGAGGGCCTGTTTAATGGGATAGTTTACCCGATTATTAACTTCTGGCCAAATTCTTTCCACACGAAGATTCTGTTTGGAAAATAAAGATGCAAGACCAATAAAACACAAGTCTCCGGATACTATTTTTGGTAAATAACCACTGGAAATGCTTTAGCCAAACTTAAAAAAAAAAAAAAAAAAAATCTAGATATGTGCTCAGTAAGACAAAATTCACCCTTGAAGAAGCTGTCTGCACATAAGGCTGCCTGTCAATGTTGTGTCGGTGTTGAGCAAGCTTCTCTTGCATATACAGAGCCAGGTAAAACTCTCTGCCATGATCTACTCTGACTTGGTCCCACATGCCATTGTTGGCAACTGCTACTCTGTAATAAAACAAGAGTGCTAAGTTTAAATTCTTATACTTTATATGGACAGATATGCCACATTGAACTGCCCACAGTAATGACAAAGGAAATACAGACTTTTTTGACATTTACCATTGTGGCCAATACTAACATAATAAAATAATGTTTAATAATCCCAATATAATGCAAATTAATTTCAGTGTTTTAACCTTGAATGGACTTACCTGTAAATGTCCTCATAAATAACAAGGTTGTTCTTCACTGGCATTGTTGCTTCAGCAACAATTTTGCTGCTGAAGCCATCCACAGCCAGGACGTGTGTGACCCCGAACATTACCATCTTCTCATTCTGGTCCATGTGGAGTTTATGGCCCATATACTCCGCATTGTAAGGAACAGGGTTTAAGTTACGTGCTCCCTAAAACAAGTATAATTAAATCAATGTAAAGGCAGTACTCTAATTAAAAATGTTCACCGAATCTATAAAATCCATACACACATGGACTGCTAATAGTTGAACACAGATAGGCCTGGGATTTTAAGGATCATTGAAATGTTAATAATTATTATTAACGTTGGTGAACTTACCTTGCGACGCTCCTCGTTATATGGTTGGTGCACATCTTTGAGAATTCTTCCCACTCGACATTCTCCTGCTCTAACTCCCACTGATGACAGGTATCCTGTCATGAACTTTCGTCCATAAGACGAGCCCGTCTGTCAAAACATAAATTTAGCAGTAAAGTAATAGCACCATATATAAAAGAGAGCTTCTTGGATAATGAAACAATGTTACTCATGATAACATATGCTATTTATAAAACTACAAGTAACATAATATGGTATAATGAGACACAATGCAGTAAAGTATCTATAAGTTTAATATAGTCAGGCTTCTGCTTCAACCTCAAACTTTTATGAAATTAAATACAATCTACACCAAAGACTCCAGAGTGCCACACAGCTGTATGATCCCTAATATAAACTTGTTTTCAATAGGCAGTCGGGTTGCAAGGGTACGCAAGTGAACAACACTCAAAAGAACAAAATTAAGATTTCATTAAACCATTAGCATGAAAAATAGTGCCTGTTAATGTTGAAATGTGAAAACATACCTTATGTATTGATGATACAATGGCTGTTTCCAAGTCTGTGTCAGACACATGCCTTTTTCTCTGTAGTTGGTGCTGAATACAGAACCGTCGAACTGACATTTCTGAGCATGTTTGAACACCTAAGTGCTGCAGCGCGATGGAAATCTCAGCATGCGTTTTTCCATTATCAAAAAGTTCTTTCACTACATCTGCACAATCCTCCAATCCGGCCATGATGGTAAAACTAGCTAATTTTATTTCTCGCAGCTGTATTGTTCGCGCTTGTTTTACTATAAGTACAGACGTCATTTCCGGGTCACGGCGTTTGTCTCAAATGAAAAAAACAAAATCGGACATGAGCGCTCGTTATCCGTTTGTTCCATTTTTGATTTGAGCACAAAATGGGAAATCGGAAAACGAGCCATTATCCGTTTTGTCGTTTTGGTTTTGGAAACAAAAACTGAAAATACGAGTGGTTTTCCGTTTTTTTTTGTTTTGGTTTCATGTTGAAAAACGGATGAACGAATGATACACGGATTGATCTACCGTAAAATACACTTTGAATATATAATTAATTTAAACATAAAAGCGCACTGCTTCCCTGACATCGACATATGCCAGTTTTTGAAATATTTATTTAAATATTAAAAAGCTTTCCCTGAGGATTTGTTAGTTTGAATAATAGGATGTGTTACCAGCGAAAAACGGATATTATCACTCTTTTGGCTCCATCGTTTAATAATATACAGGTCATGAACTCTCACGGAACTGAAAATAAGGAACAGCCCTGGACAGAAAACGACCAACACCGAGGAGTCATTTCAATGGAGTTGCAGAGGTCAGGAGAGGCAGACAACAACAGCCACAAAGAACCATCTTTGACATTTTCCCCGTACGCTTCATTAAGCAAAAGGCAGTAATGCTGGTTCAAAACGTGCGACGAGTCCACTGCTAGCCAAGGACATCATAGTATAGTTCTATTACTTACATAAGGCATGATTTAAACCTATTAGGCAGAGGAACGAAAGGCTGGGAGACTATTCCTTGATTTAAACAGAAACACAGGCAATTCAGAACCTATTTTATGTGTGTGTAGTATATTTTATTAGGAGAGAGATGGTTTCTGGAGGCAAAATGAATGAAAATGGTTCAAATGCATATAGTAATTTGAAGCTTGCAAAAAAAAAAAGAATTTGGATGAATCACAATGCCACATAAAACACATCAGCCTACTTTTTCATCCGTCTTCTTATTTCAACATAAATTTCATCAATTGGTAAATAATTTCGGAGGCAGGTTTTTGTCTCCTTTTAGATTACTTGCCGGTCCTGACTATTTTAAAACCTTTTTTTATCATCTTGCACTATTCTGTTACATTTCAGAAAGCAGTAATATCTTACTCCACACAAACTGAAAAAAAAACAATCCCTAATGTAAACACATTACTGAAAATCACATTGAAATTCTGTATAGTGTTCGTGGCTTGTTTTAATCCCTGGCAGTTATTTCAGAAACATGAATTATGACAAAAGACAAAACTAATGAGCTTGTAAAGGCCAGAACATATATTACTAATTTGCATCATACATGGTGAATTCCTTAGGAAGTTGACAAGATATGCTGTCATGAAAGTTTTTTTTTGTTATAACTAAGTATGCTTCATAAATACTTAATACAGACCATTACAACCACTGCGTGTTTTCCACTAAACTGAAACAAGCAAGTACGGTTTTGTCATTTGAAATTTTAGATGACAGAGAATTGCAGTTTAAAAAGCAGGCAGCTGACCGGCCAAGAGCAGCTCAAGAAAAACATATTTTTGGGTCCCCGGGACGGTATGTCACTTTCAGTTGCTGCTATCCATTTTCTAAACATCACCAGCATGTAATTAGAAAAATAAAACAATTTACACCCTTTCGTTATGATGTTCCCTTCCATTCAGTAACACCTATTCTCATAAAGATCACCTGCAGCATAATAAGGTACTAGATCACAAGTTAGCAAACGATTTCCCCATATTGAACTTCACGTCTGAAAAACTGAGACCTTTTAAGGATTATGACTGACCAGGGAGGGAGTGATAGGCAATGATTAGAATAACAGGAAACATTCTTAAAAATCAGGAATGTTGCTTCACTTTATAAGTTACCATACCAGCATAAACATGAAATGTTCTTAAAGCCAAATGTTAAGATCTGTCAGAAACCTTTCAAAAATAAAAGCAAGGAAATAAACCTGTTACTTTAATGAAGACTCCTCCGGTTATTTAGAGTCAGCTAAATGAACTGTACACTTTAACATAGCTTAATTTTATTATTCACTAGACAAACAACCTTGAGATTAGAGCTCATCCACAATTGCTACAGTACCACTACGCTATAGCTGCCAAAGTAACTTAAGTGTACTACTTTCTTTCATTGTTCAAATTGGAAAATCATGGTTCTATGACCTTTAGTTGACCTATGGAAGGAGGTACTTAATTGACAACAAAGTCTTTGATCGTGTTGATAATGTTACTACTTTTCCTGAGAACATTCCAAAGTGTATCTCACTGTCCTTAATAAGATACTCTACACTGGAAAATAATGTTGCATACTGTGACCAGGCCATGTCAATCTGTTTACGGGATGTATAATGACAGGAGGTGGACTTGAAGCAGGTAAGACTCAAGAATGGTGGAAAAACATCATCAACCATGTGTATATATACATAGTGATAACATTACATTTAGAGTAGAAAACAATGGTCATGACTAAAGTAATAGCAGCTTTGGGGTTAATGGTATAGATATTAAAGTTATGGACCACTTTGGCCTCCAAGGAATAATCAACCACAAAGGACTCAGGAGTCAGGAAATACATCACAGACTTGCACTTGGCAGAGTTGCAATGAAGGATCTAGAAAAAAAAAATCTTCAAAGCTACTAATGTTTATCTAAGAAATGAGACCAGAAATGTTCCAACCATGTTATTTCCTGTAACTCTTTAAGGAGAGAAAGCTGAACAATGAAGATCCATGAGGAGAAGAGTTTTGACACCTTTGATAAAACAATGGACAACAGATGGATATGTGATCAATAAGGCCTGAACTTTCACTTGCAGTAAATAGAAACAATTGACTGTTTATAAATGATGATGCTAATACCTGCTACAACCACTTATTTGCTCTTAAAAAAATACACTGGTATTTAAAACATAAAATTTCTCTTTCTTTGGACATAATACTCTCCAAACAAACTATTTCCAGGAATCTAATATGTCTCTTGAAGCAAAACGGCATTCTGGTAATAGGTGATTCTTGCTACTGTCAAGCCGAGAATTCAGAACTGCCTTATATGCAGCCCGAGACTTCAGCTGTCCCATGGACAGTTAGTCATCAAAGTCAGGTATGTCTTCATAGGAATAACCACGGTAACCTCTGGATGCATAGTAGGCAATCCGCAGATGGTAGAACCCTGGAAGGAAGACCAGGATTCCGATGATGAGGACTGGAACAGTGCGGTCTGGGTGCTGGAATAAACAGGATTAAAATGTAAATTGGGGAGACACAAAAGAAATATGCTAGCCAAACAGAACAAAACACTTGGGATAACTTTTTTCACAGCAAGGTGTAGGAGCAAAACCATATATTTGCACCCAAGCTTTGCCTTGATTCAAGCTAGGGAATTTTCTGTTAATTCCCATATATTCCCAGTAATTCCCATGGAAAGTTTCCATCTTGGAATATTTCCAAAATTCCCCCATCTTAACTTCCCATGGAATGGAAAGTTTCTGGAAAGTTTCCGGAAATTGACCACCCCTTTGCACCATAATTGGAGCAGAACACGTTATCTTAAAATGTTTATGTAATATTTTTTTTAAAACTCGAACTTTAATGTTGCAGGTTCCAAGAGTGAAATTGCTTTTGAATTTTTAAAATTGTACCTGAGTAACTCACCTCAGGAAATAGTCAGTTTGATAAATTTTAGATACAAAATCTTTGGAGAGAATCATCTTTTAATTGATCAAATGGAAATGCAACATGCTAATTATTATATTAACATTATTTTTTTTTCTACAAAAAAAATAGTCAAATTCATCATCCAGACGTGTGTGTGCACTGCCAGCATTTACATCTCCTTGAGTTTGCAAGCAGCAATCGGAAGAATGCCACAGTCACTACTGGAAACCAGTAACCTACAGGTGTCTGAGAGCAATGAAGCTGAGCAGTGACTGTCAATACTGTTACTAATTTTCTCTTATGTATGAAGTTGTAATGTAACTGGGGCTTCCAATACAGTTACGAAGAGGAGAAGAGCAGCGAGTAATAGACCAACACCAATGGATCAGGGAAAGATACCAGTACAGTAACATCACAAAGAATCAATAATACAGATTTTTGCAATTTTTTATACAGATGCTGTTGAAAGTATCAACTGCGTAAATTAACTACAGAATAAAATACATATTTTTTTACACTTTTCTGATTTAATCCCAGAACTGGTGAACACCATAGACTGGTCCAAATGTTCTTCGTGGAGTCAAACCGATCATTTTAAATACAAAGTTTTCACTGTCTTTAAATAGAGAGTGCACTCTGACAGCGACAGTGGAGTGCTAAACCGAGAGACCCCGACAAGGGGCACTGTTGCGATGTGAACTCACCGTTACTTCGATGTACCCCGCCAGAAGAAGCGCTCCAATGACAATTAGTAAAGAGCCAATCAGGAAGAGGACAGTGGCCAGGGCGATGGCCTTATATGGAACTTTGGGCGGAGTCTTCTTGAACTGCATGGAAGGACAAATAAACAATCATATATTTGGAAGAAAGCATCTTTTTACCCCGAGGATAGGTTTTTGAGCCAATCTAGTTTTTTTCCTCCAAAATAAGCAATTAAAACACAAATCAATAAAGGCTCTGGGAAGCCCACAAATAAATAACTTGTAAACGCGACTATACTATTAAATTAATTTGAAACGTGAGAATACAAATGTCTATCGAGCTAGAACACAGATCTTTATATTCACAGTCTGCATTTATGGCAATTAAGAATGCTGCAGTGAAACTTTAATTGGCTGGCTACCCGCTGGGAAATACCTGCAAATCGATGTAGCCGTCATCGCTATCCGGCAGCTTGGAGTATCTGACTTTGCTGGTGTGGTTGCTCGATCCGGTCACACTGCTGCGGCTAGGCATTTTGACCTATTTATTTAAGGAAAGACAAACCGACAGGCTTAACTACACAACTGCCGATGCATACAGAATAGCCAGTGACACTCCGTAACCTTCCAACTTGTACGTAAACTATATTTTTGATCGATGACCGAAGATTCTCAAAATGCACCAACGCCGAGCAGGCCACTGACAGATAAGTCACAATAGCGAATACATCAACACAGCGTAAAACATAAAAACCAGCTTACAACCAAATAAGAGCGCAGTTACAAATTAAATCCACATTGCACTACACATCTAACAGATAAACTAGCTAGAGTTCAATGGTATCCCCATCTTTAATGCAATATGTCAGTACGTAAGTATATACAGTACTGTTTGAACTGGTAAGGCTACCACGTAATATATTTGATATTTAGGCGTTTAAACGTACTGGTTAAGTCTGGTTATTAAAGTATCAAGAAGGATCCGACAATTTCCTGCAAAGAATGTGGAAGGTGGTCGCTAGCACGTCCAACGAAAGTTTAAGCAAGTCATATCCCCAGATGCCTTGATGGCAATCTTGAAAATCGCTTGAAAGAAAAACTTCCCGCGATTAAGTTATTCTGGACTGTTGAGTAACTGTAGCCGTTCGCAATAGGATAAGATTACGGCCGTGTTGTTGCTGAGCGTGTTGTTTTTCAGGTAATGTGGTGTGTAATACCGACATCAGCGCGCAGAACGCTTCCGGGATGCTTGGGGACGCTGCGCATGTGCGATACACCACCAATCTTTCCGCCTAGAAAACGTGTTAAGGTGCCTGTGTTTTAATTCACGGAAATCGTACATTACAAATTAATTTCCTTGTAACGCATGGTCGTTGGTTTACAGCAGACGAAGAAATTGCTGTTATATGTGTGTGTAATATTTACACTTCCGCGCTTTATAAATGTGCCTGAATATTAAGTAATACAAGGTGTTATGGTGTTTAAAATTATATGCACCTTAAGTGTCATTGTTTGTCACATAGAGGACTAAAAATTTATGAGTCTGCAATTCCGTAATGGGTTTGCCTGTGAAAGTGCATTTGGAGGAGACATGAGCTAGTTTTATTGGACACCACGTCACTCAGTCACATGACGCGCCCTCCATATAATAATGAAGGCTCCAGTTATTGGCTTTTGTTATGCTCCGAGTTTGTCCTTCATTTGGAATTATAGTTGCAATTCTGTTGACTGTTCAGCTGGCAAGTTCATGTTTACTATATAGTCCTGCGCACGTCATATTTTACATGAATACCTGCCCTCAGATTAGAACCGATTTCTAATATGAAGGAAATAAGATTCTTGAAATAGCAATATGTCTCATGCTTCTGATGCAAAGCATCAGATTATTTATGTTAACCTGTGCTTTTATGTATTAAATGAACTCAAACGTGCACATGTTAATGAAGTTAAAACTGCTTATTAATCGTGAAAACATATTTTGTGAAAATTGTCCACACAGGGGTGCTGCAGGACAGGTTGGGGCTTGGTTCTTATCTGTAGAATTAAAAAATAAAACCTTGTATCCTTAGGATTACTTTGGTCTTCGATGATCTTTGATGGCCACAACATTTTGCGGTTTTAACCTCAGGTAAATGGTTTGCTGGTCTTAACAATATGCCAGGTTCTGGGTCTCTGTGAACATTTTCTTTTACATGTCAGTATAAGGAGCATGATTTTGAAGAGGATGATTATCCAACCATCCACTGATCCATCCCACCATCCATCCATTTTCCAATTGCTTATGCAGTACAATGTCACTGGTGGGGGGTGCTTCTGGGGAGCACCTTGGACAGTCCATTACAAGGCTCACTTACACACACACGCTTGCACATGTAGGGTATACATATCCTTATGGGGACCGCTCATTCATTTCAATGGGAAAAATGCTAATGCTAACTATTGACAACCTTAACCCCTACCCTGCCCTAACCATAACCATAATTAAACTAACAAAATACAAGAGTTTTTGCATTTTTAGTTTTTTCATAGCAGTCACCGATTTTTATGAAATAGAGTTTTCCCTTATGGGGACCAGGAAACCTGTCCTCATAAGGGAAAAAAAAACAGATAGGCTATTTATCACGTTATGGGGACATTATGTCCCCATAAGGATAGGTAAACCCGCTCACACACACACACACACACACACACACACACAAGTACATGTTTGTATTCATATTTCTGTGTGTGTTCATTTATTTCAGTTCATTTATTTTTGTGGGAAAAACCCTACCCCAACAATGACAAGCTTAACCCCTACCCAGTCCTAACCTTAACCATAAGTAACCAAACAAAGTAGTCTTTTGCCATTTTTAGCTTTTTGATCAGTCACAGATTTTTTATAAAATTCAATTTCCCCTTGTGAGGACTTAAAAAAATGTCCTCACAACATGAAAATGACAGGTTTTTTTTTTTTTTATCACAGTTGGTCCCCATAATGTAATATACGTGTATACACATCTACAGACACACACACAGATTTGTAATTATATCTTTGTGGGGACTCTCCATGTGTTTCTATGGGGAAAACTGTAATACCAACATGACAACCTTAACCATAAGTAACCGAACAAAATACAAGACTTTTGGCATTTTTCGTTTTTTGATTGCATTCTTAGACATTTGCAGGGACCTGAAAAATGATCCCCACAACTGGTTTTTATGACTTTGTGGGGGGCATTTGGTCCCCACAATGTAATAAAAACCTAATCCACATACACACCCAGTCACACATTATGGGGAATTTTCATCCCTCTGCATGGCCTGATATGTGGAGAACTCCACACACAGAGCGAAGCTATTAGTACTCATTAAGAATGTGACTGTTTTTTTTTGAAGATTAGGAAAGATAGTGATGCCATCCTCAGACTAGGCAAACTTCCTCCATCCCCTATTCTAGCTATTCTAGTGTTTCATTAAGGACCACATGGGCATTAAAGAGGGAATACGTTTTATCTTATGGTTCCAGATTGTTCTCATTGTTTTAGTGAAAGCCTGCCCAGTTTTGCTCCTCACACAAGTGGGGCTCTGTTTTTATGTGGATTCATGATGTGAAGAGAGGAACAAGCCACACAGGATAAATGCTGGCTGGAGTAGCACTGAGGCACCTGAAAAGCAAATAAAATAAAATAAAATAAAACAAATAAAAAGTTCTGCTCTGTTGTACAGAACGATGATCCCATAGAATGGAAGCAAGGGCTGAAAGAATAGTTAAAACAGGGCTTTTATTAAAACAACTGTAGTTCATTCATGGCTTTTATTAAGTCAAACATTTACAATGAATTACTATTAAATCCCATTTATAATAACAAATCTCAGACGGGTTTAGAATAACTGTGAGGACCTATATGCTAAGAAACAAAACACAAATAAACATTAAAGTGCACCATAGTGGGAACTCAGAAATGCTTTATGCTTTGAGCTCTCATATACTCTCATGACCTTTAAAAACCCAGCTGGCCTTTCTAGCAGTGTGATAAGTCTGATCAGGACCATCTGGACTTCCACATTGGAGAGATCTGCTGAGACGGAGCTCGTAGTCAATGGCGCAACATGAAGTCACCAAAACCCAACATTGTGCCATTGCCTGAAACCACCGGCAAAACAGAAGTTTTAGGGTGCAGGGAGATGTACCATGTCCAAAACAAACTGATCCAAATAAATTTTGAAATATGAATCATTTAAGTACCTATTTTGTATGTGCCATTATTAACTTAAATTAATAATGCATTATATGCAAAACAAACGGTCCAACAGATGAAGGAAAAGGGAAACAAACATTGGGAAGGTTGAAATCCTTCACTATATTTCCTGCGGCTGGCAGACACCAACATTGACAAGCAGTGCCAAACTGCCACACTAGATCAATGTCCTTCATTTATTGTGGCTTTTCAATGATTCTTGTCCTACTAATCTAACTTTTGCTGGCAAAAACACACTTTTAATACCAACTTATCAAAGCATTGCATCTGTCTGAATCATTAAATTCCTTAGCCGATTCTTTATATGGTAAGGTACAATGTCTGAGAATTTGGGAAGGTTTATGTGATTTTTGTTCGCATTATTATGTAATGACCAATGAATTTGGTAGGGCCTGATGAAACGCTGGAACCCTTGCCTTTTGCTCCTTGATGCCTGAGATAGGCCTCTGTGTCATGGCACACTGGTACGGAGCGGGGAAGCAGATACAGGAGTCAAGAGATACGGGGAAACAAAGGGTTTATTTGGGAAAGGCAACTCGGGGAACTTGGAGTACCACACAGGACTGACGTCACAACGGCACAACGTTAACGACCGGACTAACGAAAGGCACACAGACACGGACTTCAATACACCACAGTAATTAACATGACGAGGAACCGCTGGGAACACGGGTATTCCACACGATGTAGAGCGGGGGGCGTGGTGCACGGGAGGATCGGACGACCGGGGCATGACACTCTGCACCAGCACCTGTGAATCCATGGCTGCAAGTTGGGTAGTTCTTAGCTTGAAAGTTAATTAAGAGAAGGCTCATCAATAGCTCTATAACGTGTTAGCAGCCTATTCTAGGGATAGAAGCATGTGTCATATGTACAACCATGTTTCTGTAGGTACAGATTCTAGTTTGATTATATTAATGTAGCGTGTTCTCTATATTATAAGATCTTACTATATGATAAGATCCTATTGGGAGATCATATTGAACTAGCTATCTATAGGCTATACTATCTATGTACAGTAGCATGATGCTTTTGAGTTTTGGCAGTGGTTTGGATATATTGAATTCATGGTTGTGATTTAGTGGTTAGCGATGTCTGTGATAGTGTAATTAGTACTGGTACTAATAAGAGATGTAATACCGAACAGCTTTGAAAAATATGATACGACAGTATCTTCTCAGTACTGGTATAGCGTGTAACCCTACTCTACAAAAACTCTAAGAAATTTGGTAAAATGTGAGACTATTTTCGTATTGCACAAATAAATAAAAATCACTACATTGCATACTTGATAAATCTCTGTGTGTAATTGTGACCAAAACGACTCCATATAAGCCACAAAATAAGGGCATTAATCATGAATTCCATTGTGAAGTGCTTTCCTTCCTGCTATCTTTTCTTCGACACAAAAAAAGTTGCACAGTGATGACAAAAGCGTGCTCAGGCCAGGACCGTTAAGTGCAATGCGAGCACAGAGCAGCGGGGAGGGGGGGCAATTGCCCTCGGGCATGGTACAAGGCAACTGGGCCAAGTGTGAGTATGCCCTGAGTTCAAAGCTGCTAACAATGGAAGCCTGAATCACTAAATCCTCATTTAAACCTTGAGCTAAGTTTAAATGGCTTAGTAGCAGCTTTGTACTAATGTTAGCAGATATATGTATGCAAATCCCAATAAACGTGACCTGAGCGATCTTAACCATATATCAGGCAGAGATGCTTTTTAGCAGCCAAATGCTTGGTGAGCCACGCACACGCAATCATAAATGAAAGGACAATAATTTCTGCATGACACGGTCATCTTCACCAAAAACACTTCTTGGCACGCATACAGAAGGGCATATTTCACCTTTAAGAGCATGATCTTGTAGTTTTGTCTGGATGACATTTGTGGGAGGACAGACTGAAATTCCTAGGCATAGAATTTCTGACAGTGACCAATGTTGTACGAAATGCTAAATCATGGAATTTCTCTAGTCTTAGTAGCTCAGTCGTAGTGGCTTGGTATATGCCAGAAGCAGAGAGGAC